TTTATTCCAACAGCTTTAAAAATTCTATAACACGTACGAAAGAAAACCAAGTTCTGCTCCATAGATACGTGAACATTTCATTTGCCACCGGTAAAGAATTCATTTAGAACTCTTGAGAGAACATCGGGTTTCAATTTTTGCCTTCTAATAATTTATTTCCTCAGAGAATTGTCTAGTTTTACGACAAACTATCTTCAAGGTACATACATCGTTCCTGACCTTTCCTGAAATCCAATGGGGAGCCTTAAAATACGTAGCAGCCAACGTCTTAATGTTATTGGGTGAAAGGAGACGCGCAGGCTCAGCCATGAATTACGTGGCAGAAGATCCTTTATAATGGAGTGGCGCTTGATCTATGGAATGGCTATATTCTCTGGTGGTGTTCTTCAGTAAAATCTGTACTAATGCAACTGAAATCTGAGCATCTGTGGAAATGCGAGCTTCGCATTCAACACCACAAAGACTGTAGCCATCACAACCCGGTTATCGCATCGCAGCACAGAAGAAAAAATAATAAAATTGTTCTTTCTTTCTTCCGTAAAAGTGACGCGTTTATGTGTGTGGTCACTTCTTGGTTCCACGATGTAGGAACGTCGTTACCTTGACCTGTCTCAACTGACTTTAGTATATAATCACACCGTTTGTTCTTTAGGACTTAATTTCCTCTTGTTTGCAGACATTATAAAGTAGTGACATTCTATATACTCCTCCCCAGCTGACACTGGACAACCCGATCTTGTGCGTTCGAAAGTTTCATCGAATTCTTGGCAGATCTGAACATCTTTGCAACATAATACCTGCTAATCAGTGCCTGATTTTGCACATTAACCCTTTGAAGCCGAAGATCGTCTGAATATTATTTATGAATTCAGTCCGTACCGCGAAGAAAACACTACACCTCACCATTACGAAAATCAGCTGGTTAACCCTTTGAAGTCGAAGCTCGTCTTCATAATATTTACGAATCCAGACCGTACCGCGAAGAAAACACTTCACTTAACCATTAGAAGTCGAATCAGGCGGTACCACATAAGATTTAACAAAAGAACATCCCGGTCAAAGCCTTAATTATAGCCCTTCAGTTTCTCCTGCACATTATATTTCTGTAAAAAATATATTAAAATGTGTTATCTTCGTCAATGAGTTTGGCACAAGCGGTTTTTTATATATTTTATTTATTTTCACGTCGCTGACGTAAAGCTTTGTGTCCTCACCATTCTCACAGATTTTCACTAGTATAATTTCATCATCATCAACAAAATGACGTTCTGTTATGCCATTAATTTTCCTTAAAGGTTTGAACATGCTGGGTTTTATATCACACTTGTGCAAATGGTTCTGACGTCTGTAACCAAGTTACATCGATAAATTCGCCTAAACTCAAAAGAGGACACAATTTTTTTTGCCTTATGTAACAGCAGCCATTTATGAACCTGCGTGACCTTTCAAAGGATACGACACTTTGATGTCTTATTCCTCGTGTTAAAAAATACAAACTTTGACCAGTCACATTAAGAGTGGCGAAGTCGTGAAGTTACGTCTACTTAACACGTGAACATGAAAAGGAACTGTGTTAAAAAATTTAATTATTAATGAATACCATAAAATTTTCTTCAAATCTCTGTGAAATGTTTAACGGAAGTTTGTGTATTTTCAGATACCGAAAGGATAAATTTTTGTCTTATTTATATGGAGTCGTCTTCTATGTTTTATTCAGTGTTAAAATAAAAATGTATTGCGTGTCTTTTCATATATCTGGGCCTATTTGCAGTGCATGTTACTAATAAGACCAGAATATTCCTACTTTATATTCCGAGTCCAGATATTAATCTCCTTATTTAATTTTTTTTTTTAAAATAAAACTGTACATCTTAGAGCAACAAATAATAAATATCTTAAAATGTTTCGCCCAGAACAGAAACGCACACAAATCGTGAAATCCTAACGTGGCCACATTTGGCATAGATTCTGATGATGCGTATTACGTTAAGACTCAAATACACTTTTCCAGTCCCTGATAAGGAAAGAAACAGTTGCCTGAAACATGGTTTTGTAACAGATATCACTGAGAAATCCCGACAAAATTTTCATTCAAAATCGCCAGTGACATCGTCGAGTTACAGAAAATTACTTCCTTAACTCTTTTAGAAATATGAAGTCGCGAAGTCTTTATGTCAGCTGCGACGGAGGAAGAAACGTAAGCGAAAATATTTTTTACGGACTGTAACCACTTTAAGCCCCCAAGGTAGATTAAAACTCAAAACATCTGAATTATACGAACTGAAGAGAATTAATTTAGCGGCTATAATGTTTTCTGCCTGTCGGGTCTTACGACGAACGACAAAATGGAAAGCATTTCGACGACAGCGGTTCAAACGAAAATCAAAATGTTGCTCCATTTCGACGTCCGTCGTGATTCTGGCGTTAATTTCTGACGACTGCTGCTTTAGTTTTAATTTTTATTAAACTTTTTCACATATTTTCGTTCGTCATCTGAGTCACATTGCCATATAAACTTATATTGCGCCGTTAAACAATAAACCGCAGACACAGGGGTGTCCGACATCTTACTACTGAGACCATTTCCAGTAATAAATGCCATAAGAAGACAGAGCTGATTCTCAACGATTATCGAATCAGAGAAAACTAAAATTCAAGATTTGTACTTATTACAGCATCGGATATTCGGTGACTTAATCCCCTCTTATTTACTTTGCGTTCATAACCATATTTTCCAGGAAAAATAAATCTATAGAGTGGGGCCCGGTGATAAAATAACATTAAATATCAGTCGATGTTATTTTTCTGGGTAGTAACGCTGTGTGGACTTGCCGCCCTGAGACCTTCATGTATGATATTAAACACGTGTTTCATAAAACAATTATAAGTTCACTCAGCTTAACTACAAAAAATGTTTTATTTTACATTTTTAACTAATACTGCTCCATATTTATCTCGTCCTATGACAAAACTATGGTGCACAATGTTTCTTGAATAAACCCACAAAAACACATATTCTGAATCAGTTCACCAAAACCCCTGAACCTCGGATGTTACACTGTACTTCACAACCTAACCTAACCTAGCCGTAATGGGCCATGTTTCTCTAAGAGTACACAAAAATCGATTTTTGTTTACGCAGAAAACACAAGTATTTTATAAACCAAGTGGCTGTTAATTAGAAATTTAAAATCCTAGCTAACTTTTGCTTTCGGTAAAATTCTGCAAGAGGGAAATTGCTTCAGTTTGGAAATACGTGCATTTTCACAACCCAGGTTGGGTCCCTGATACGTCCCTTACGTAGGCCTACAGAAAAAAAAGTGATGATGACTATGTTGCCGGGTTGACGTCGACAGTCATTAGATGTAACATCCAGCGCCATTATCCACTCAAAACAACGCCAGGAAACTCAGACACACTCTTAATGACTTGAATGAACCTTGCAAACGACCGAGCTCCCATCTGTGCTTAAAAACCTAAGGAAAAAGACACACGACGTCCATTATCTTTCTTAATGTCCGTCTGTTAAAGACGTTCTTTTACAAAAAGGTCTTACGAAACTGCACAAGCCGGTGTAGATGCACGCGCGTATTTCTACTGAAGTGCAGGCGATCCCTGTGTGGATTTATTACATTCAGGACGAAAGGCAGGCGAATGGAGACCATCTCGACATATTTTGTGTTTGCGTGTATAATATAATCACAAATATTCTGCATGATACATTAAGAACATTATAACTTAGATGTATGATCAATATCAGTATCCTAAGTCAAGGTCCCTAGAAGCCAATCAAGCAGCTGGTAACATCTCCCTAGGGAGTTAAGGAATGTGGACTTAAAGATAAAATACCTAAGTTCAGGTTTGTGAGAGGAGGCACTGTACACGTGCAGAGTTTTTTGAGGCGGTGGAAATGACAACTGCCCTTTTATATTATATTATATTATATTATCAATAAACATTCAATTGCGCCTCTTAAACACGGTAATTTATGGCTATTTAATGTGTAAATAATTTTGTTTGTATGAATGATTTTATATATCAATACCCTTATCGGTATGCAAGGTTTTAAGAGTACAAGAACTGTAACAATTCTTCAACCATACTTCTGATATTAGGAGCATAATAAAAGTATAATTTACGAAAGAAATTAGTTTCACTAATAGTGACATTTCCCCACTTAATGATACCTGCTCCTTGTCGTGGTGGTGGGGCTCGAGTACCTCAGTGACCCCAAGAGCTACTGTTAGGGCCTCCCTAGCCAGATTGGTCGAGGGGCAGAGGTCAGACTAAGACAGGTACCCTGGTCCTCCAGGTTGGGGGTTGGTCGCAAGGCTAACAACCTTGCACCGTAAGAAGGAAGACGTTCCGAAACCTCGATCAAAGCCTCGGATAGAATGGACCTAACAGAGGACCGAACGGAAGAGGAGAATTGAGGAGGCTGTGGACCGAATACGGACCGGAGAGTCATAGAAGAAGAAGAAGAATAGTGACATTTAGGTGTAAAATTATCAGAAGTTTCTTGTGTAGCCTTTTGTGCAGTTCATTAAATTTTCGCACTAATCTGTAAAAATTCTGTGGATTAATGTCAGAAGATTAGTGAACAGTGTATTTTAAACACGTGTATTTTTTATTTCCACTTATTCCACACGCGCGTTTCGTATGAATGTTGTATATCTGACGCTGTCTGTTCTATTCCCGATGAACAAAACCCACCCACCGCTATCCTCCTCATCTTTGAGGCAGGAAGCACGTGTCAAACGTCCGTAAAATTCCACGTGACTACACAGACAGCCGTCTTCAATGCTGCATCATTCACTGTAAGCCTATAATAACAACACATGATTTCTGGGGATCAGATAAAGGCTATGGAAGTTGGACGTCTGTGAACCAAATGTAGATCCACAATCGATATATACTTCGCACAATTCTCGCAGTTGCTAATCAAACGGCGAAACCAGTAGTATCTAAAATCCCATTGCAAAAATATTGAATAAGCTTACCTGCCCTGACGGTGACGTCTCTGCTTAAGATGGCGCCGACACTGTTGGACACGAAGCACCTGTAGACGGCCCAGTGCACGTCCTGGCGGAAAACCTCGGCTTCGAACGGAGGAAAGTAGATTGATCCATTACCGAGTACGATTCTGATGGCTGGGATGGAAGACACGGCTAAGTTGTCTGACCCAAGCCACTCGACGCTGGGCGCCGGGTTTCCGTGGGCCGAGCAATCCACTCGCCCCCCACTAGAGTTTGTGAATTCCACTTTAGAAGAAGGCTCACTCACAAATACGGGGCCCTGCGTATCATAGAGCGATCCGGCAGACACTTCAGTTTCTGCAATAAAAAGCAATACAAGTGCACGTGACTCTCGACCGATTCAACAGAACTGACTCAAAAACACGTAATTTTTATTCAATCAGAAACACGATCACATAACATGACGAGGAAAGTATCATAAATTTTTATATTTATTTATTTTATTTAGTGTTCTGTCTGACGACAGGTCCATATGAACAGGATCCTTCCATCCTTTTCTCGGACTGGGACCTGTTCATATACGTTCTTGGCAGATGATCCAGAAGCGGTTTGCCATTGCCTTCTTCTGTGCGTGAATGGAGTAATTGTTGGGATGCCAATGAGGAAAACTCCGTGTTGCCTAGGCCACGGCCTTGCCCAACACAAGTTATAAATTCGGGCACCACCGGGAATCGAACCCGAGACCCCAGGATTACAAGGCCAGCGTTCTAACCGCTAGACCACCGTGGCAATTTCGCCACAGTACATGATTTATAATCATTTTCGTCATTTGAAAATATATAATCTACGTAATACATACAGTGTCGTTAAATGAACAAAGATATACAGACGGCCTTGGAGTGACTGAATTTAGATGCAGGACTTAAAAACGCTCTTATAACCAGCCATCGGTCTGCTGTTCTATCCCCGGGCTGAGATTTTAACATCTCCCTTCATCCATTACCAATGCAAGTGAAGAATCTAAGACTTTAATTTCTTTCGTCTGAAAATTTTAAATCACATACAAGAATAATTGTGCATAATTTGAGATTCTCACGGCAGTGAAGATTACAATGTTCTTATGGGTTATGCTCGTATGTAGATACTAACGTTACAGAGATACATAATGTGTCCATCTTCAGGGCTGCATAATATACGGTGTCACAACCCGGAAGACAACAGTCTGGATATAAGAAATTAATTTTTAATTCCAGTTTTGGAATTTATTAAACTGAACAAACTTATAATTAAATAATTATAAAAAAAAATGTCATTGTAATGGTTTGTGCTTTCCGTAAATACTAATAGTAGGCCTAAATGATAATTTTGTTGCCTGAAAAATCAAAAGTCTACAACGTCCGGCCTGTATTCAGAAGGCTGGTAGTTTGAATCCATGCAGGAACAGTGAGTAACTTAATTGGGCAGTCAATAAGCGAGTCATAACGTTGCCTACCGTTAGCATAAATCTCAAAAGCCATTTAGTCCAGTCTGATAATGACGCTGAAAATCATTAACTTCGCTACGTTTATTTTAAGTGACGATATAAACTGCATTTGTATCTGAACGAGGGCAAAGGAGAAAAGGGAACATGGTCTCCTAAACTGTATGGCACCTGCTTCGTTTTATTGTTATCTGTGACCACAGTTCGGTGTTCCCATCTTACAACGTGCTGCATCAGGCTTCTTTAACCCCCATCTCAGTATTAAGCGACAGTAGCCACCAGATGGTGCAGCCTGTTATTGGTTCATAAAACATGAGCAAAAACCAAACCCAAACCATGTCTATTTTGATCGTCGTTAGTTGAGGCTCTGGTACCTCAGAGATTAACTTAATTTCGTTAATGGGTTCATCAAAGTTTGATACCACTTAACCGGCATCCCCCAGTGTGCAGACTACGTAGAATATTAATTACTGAGCAGAATAAAACAGTTAACAGCACGAAAGTCTCCACTTTCTTACGCTTCGATCTGCGACATTTATTACAGAAACATTTCACTGATTGGAAGGCACGTTAATAAACGTAATCTTTTCATACAGAAATTAATATTTTCTTAGGAATGTCTTTTCCCTAGAATTTTTCTTTCCCTCCAGTTTATTTAATTAAATGTCTCTGTGAAGTAGGAAACTTCATATCTAAAGGCGAGTAGAACATTTTATTCATTATGAGGGATTGTAATACGCGACATGCCAGAACGAAATTATTAGTAGGCAGTGATTTCATAAATAAAAAATCTGGCATCTCTGTAAAGAACTAGGCCTACATTAATTTAAGAAATTATGGCAACCTATGAAACATATATTTATTTAATTAAGGAAGAGACCTGTGACTTGTGTCTGGGATTTCCAAAATACTGCAGACAGAAAGAAAATTTGCTAAAAATACAACTCACATTTTTGCACCTGACGAGATAGCAATGATAACATTAAACCTAATCAGCCCACAATGCCAAATCGTTAGTTATAGAACCAAAGAACCCACCATTAATTAGACGTTTCGGTTCAGAGACAGAATTGTACACATGCGGGTATCGATTTAACTACAATAGTCAGAAACAGATAGCAGCACATTGCATTCAGAAATACATAAAAAAATTTCCCTTTTTATTAAGGATACACTACCACAATAATAGAAGAAAAATTATTACCTTCATTTATAAATCCCGAAACAATACTGACTGTAGTAATCTCACTAAGTCTAGTTTCAGTTGGCTTGAAACAAAACGTTCTCCAGTATACATACTTCTTCTAGGCTTAATTTAAGAACATCCCTGAATTACACGTGTTCCTAAACAAAATAACACGATGCGATAAAATCTTCTCGGGCGACAAGCCGCTTCAAAATGAAATCGTCCTGATGATGGAGACAGAGAATATCGCCGAAACGTTGGACTACGATTCCATTTTGACGCGGCCTGTCACTCTAGAATATTTCATTGCATTCAGTCGCCGCAAAAGTCACAAGCCTTATAAAAATAGCACCACATTTGACCTAAGTGAGCAATTAACATATAATGTATCGAGGACCCTCATTCCGTACAATTGCTAATGCAGAAGAGTCAAGGAGGCGATGGTAAGATGTGACCAGAGACGTGTTCAGGATTTTAGTAGGCAAGCCTTTCTTAAAACCACTACTTGGAGGGCAGAGGAGATTGATCTTGGTTGTGAGGATCGGAGGTGGATAAAACTGGCTTGTGATATTGACCAGCTGTGGGCTGCGGTATTAGCAGTGTTAAACCTAGGGGTTTTAATATAAGACACTTGCATTAAGCAACTTATTTTGCTCGTTATTTAAGTTGTCTGTTACAACGGGAGGAAATAAACACTCAAACACTCTTCCTTCGCATTCCAAGGGCCCACATATCGACTTTCGGGACGAGTAACCAAGGTTTTAATCGTTTTAGTTAATACATCCACGCAATTATTACCCCTAGAAACGTGTAATTTAAGTAACTTATGTTTAGGTAATTTACGCAAGGTAATTTCTGTAGCTTGCTCAAGTCACTTATGTAAGCTAAGAAAGTTTCATAATGTAAGTATCTTATATAACTCATGACTTTGTAATTTGTGTAATATCTGTGAATCAAGTTACTTGAATAAAGTTAACTCGTCTAGTAACTTAGGAACTTGCGATTCTCAGTCGTGAAGAAAGCTTTACAACGTAAAAACTGAAACTGAAGTTATAATGAAGTAAAATTAATTAAGTTCATGATAGAATTAGTGGAAGTGGCAGCATTTGTTGTGGTCCAAACTGTGTGTTAAACGTTTTCTGAACTACGTCGTCTTTCCACTGCATTCATCAAATGACAATCTGCAAACCGAAATGTATAATTTTCTTATTTGTGACACGCGAATCGATATTATATAAAAGTCACTTTCATATTCATTTGCTTTCTTTTTACTTTCACTCGGAGAGAACATATTTAAATTGACGGGGACGTCGGAAAAAAAACTCACTGAAATTAATACGTGTTTCGAGTGATATTTGCTATTCATATACTTCTGTTATGGTGTGATTTCAGCGAATTTATCGCTCATAAAAATTTAACTGTATATCACAAAGGACTACACGCCTATTGATTTTTAATTACGTGTTTTTGCCATGCACTTAAATATTAAACACGAAAAACAACAAAGAAATTCATGACAAAGGAGGTAAAATTACGAGAGGATTAAAAGGAAGAAAGAAATATGATGAGAAATTAATTGACACAAGTCTGGTTAAAATAAAAATATTCTTTCTTTTATAAAGACATTAAAACAAAAAATTACATTCATAATACGTCTCTTGATTTGTATGTTATATTACTGAAAACTCCATTAATGATCACTTCTTTTCCATAAAAGCAAGATAAGTTGGATTCCAAAGTGTAAAAGTAAGACTTTATCGCAAAACGCCGGTTCACATATATTCGTTCAGAGGCAAGAAACCCTCAATGTATGTTTTGTCTCGGTTAAGGCTACGGAATTCATCATATTTTTTCACGATTATTACCGAAACACCCTGTATAAAACGCCGGTGGAAAAAATGTTCCTTGAGAAATAAAGTTAAAAGGAAAGACACAATATTCTCGTTCTTTTGTTGACTTATCTACATTTGCTCTTCAGCCGTCAACAAAGCGCGCATATGACAGGATAATATATTACATTATTTATCTCAATTATAGTGAATATTGTCAGAGCTAACCGTACAATTGTGTGGTTCACATTTGTTATAAATGACCGGATTATACATTTGCAGGTATAACTGCGCTCCATATACATCACACTACACACAATCGCATGAAGCCAGTTTACAGGTTCAAGTCAAATATACGTGATATATACAACAAACAAATCACAATAACAAAGATCAATACGGGGAGGGGAAAAATTACATTCCCTCTAGTATTGAAAATTACTGGGCAATAACTATAAATAAATCATGAAAATAAATACAACGCAAGGCAATAAAATTAACTCAAATCCTGAAGAATTAAAGTGAAAATTTTGATCCATGATTTAATTAACGACTACATAATTTTTTTATCTTGGTTTACTTAAGAACCTGTTCTAATTGTTTAACGTTAATGGCTAATGGTAAATAAAGAAGGAAGATAAGAAAAGTAATCTCATCAAGGTAATCGAACAGTATTCACGCCGTAGAACTGAGGTAAACTACTGAAAACTTCAATCATAACTAATGCTTCGACCAAGACTAGAACCATAGACGTCTAGAAATCGAGGAAGAAATATTAACTAGATATCTTTCTTCAAACTACAAATTCTAAGTCTCCACAAAATTGTCTAAGTATAAATATCACAGCTCAGTGCCTAAGAAG